TTTAATAGGCTAAATGATTCAAGCTTCAAAAATATACCCATTTCCAGCATAAAATGTATCCTCTTTTTAATTGAGAATAAGACAGAAAAGTGGGAAATGGAGCTCATACAGCACATCATAAGAAATCATTGTGAAAGAGCAGGAAGCTGTGGGATTGGCGCTGGCTGCCCGCCTGGCCTTCTCCCTGCGCTTTGGGTCCTGAGACCCCCAGAAACACAGCTAGTTGGGCTGGGTTCTCAGCGCCTTGTCACCTCGGTCGCTTTGCAGGTGAACAGCATGGCCTCCAGACAGAGGGTTGCGAGTTGCTGCTTTCTAGTTCTACCTTCAAGGGGAAAATAAATGTTTTTGTGAAAATTATTTCTCCTCTTCTCATTTCTTGGGAAGGGGGCACATTTCTGAAGTGATGAGCATCTTCTCTTGTGCTTGAGTGACCTGGGGTTGGTGTTTGCATATGACACATCTGGAACAAAATCTTACTAGTGCTAGGTATGTACTTCTGGTTGGTGGTTAAGAAAAGGTTTTGTTAGCATTTTCATTATTGGCAGCCATTGCAGTTGAAGACAGATAAGTAAAAGTCATGTATGGGTTGATTTGTTTTATTAAGTGTGTTACTTAAGTGTATTTCTGTGAATAGTGCTTTCGTAGGTTTCTTAATTTTTCACAAGGACAAATTTTCATGAGGACCATTTTGGGAGTTTTTTCATGACAAAAAGCAGATGGGAAAAGATGGGGGAAATATCTATGTATATTTAAGCTGCAAAATGAATTATGTAAACACCTCTAAATAAAAATGCAGATGTTTAATTCATTTGGCATTTGAATGAAACTCGTTCAAATTTAATAAGTATGGTTCTTGTTTAGGAGCTGTATTTCGTAAATAAAGCACAGTCTTTATACTTGGACATCTGTTAACGGGTGAATCCCATAGCTTCAATAATACCTGGGCAAATTAAAGGAAAGCTTGAGATCTGCATTTTGATTCATGCTTACCATGTTTTTATCCTTTGGCTACATTTCTTCAGAAATATTTTGATGACTTTTTTAAAAAAAATATTTGTAATAGATGTGAAAGTGAACGTGTTTCCTGTTAGCACATCCTGGGGAAGTGAGGTGAAGGAACTTGTTTCTCCACAAATACCCTTGTCCAGGTGGGTACTTCTGTGTGTACAGACACAGGTGCACACACAGGCTAGGGATATGCTTTTAATTCATCTTTAACTACATGAGAATTTCTTGATTTCTTGCTTGGTCTCTTGCTGTAGGAAGGTGTGATGTTATGTGCAAGTTTTATTTCATTCTGCTTCTGCCCCGATGATAGATATTAAAATAGAGATCAGAGAAGGAACTTGACATGAAGGACTGAGGCTCTTGGCTTCAAACCATGGGTTAGGGTCTAGCCTGAAGAGCTAGAGGCAGTGGGGGGGGGGGGGGGAAAGACTCAAAGGAAACTCAAAGCAGCAGGTGCAGAAGATGGCCTCTGGAAGCACATGCCCACAGCCTGTCTGTGCCTGGCCTCCCAGTCAGAGCCTTGTCCCCCAGTGCCATCAAGGGGCATCAGTGGCAAAGGGGCTGGAGGCCAGTGTGTGACATACAGCACTGTTCTAAGAGATGTTTTAACCAAGGTTGAGCAAGAATTTCATGATGGTGGTAAGGAGTATTTTTCTTTTATTCTTAACTTGCTTGTTTTCTACAAGGAGTAATGGAGATTACGTCTTCCTCAGTAGATATTCACGGAATAGTTATTTTATTAGATGAAGCCTTGAAGAAGAATTTGAGAAAATTAACAGAAGAAAATAACTTTTTTTTATTGTGTTAGAAACTTGACCTATTTCTATTAGTGCACACTGAGTGAGCATGTATTTTACCTGAAGGAAAGTAGCCACTTGGAAAATAAAGACTGAACCTGGAGCAGACTGTTTTTTGTCCCTATGAAGTGCACAAGCTGGTGATGATGCACTATTTATTATTATTTTTTTTAACCCTGCTTTGCCTTATGTTATAGCAGAATATGTGTTTTGGGGCATGAGAGGGTTGCTGTTATACACAATGAAGCTCTGATCTAATTCTTTTCTCTAGTTCTTGTGACAGAGGTAATAAACGTTAAGAGATCTTGGAAATCCAGCAAACCCAAATGTGTTCCAGGCTGACTGACTGGTGGGGCCTCCCTTTAGCAGGGCAGAGCCCCAACTGCTGTTGACCCCAGCTGGGGAAAGAGCTCTTCACCAGCCCTATGGTCTAGGCTGGAAATGAGGGGAGCTGCTTTCCCAAAACCCATTACTTTTTGAACTTGGACAGTCAAAAAATCAATTAAATTGAAGATTATATCCTGATAAATCTCATGAATGATTTTTTTTTTTTTTTAACCATGAGAAGTGAACTAGCTTCAGTGAATATCTGGAAAGAATGTTTCTATCATGCACCAAAAGGAATGAATTTGGCAATGATCCTTTGGAAGGAAGATTTAATTTTTAGTCAGGCTAGCATTTTAGAACAGCTGGTCCAGTTTTAACCTTGGGTTCAAGTATCACTCAGAAGATGACGTGGTGTAAGTACGGTGAAAAGCCATCTCTGGCTAGTGGAATTGAGGGTTGTTTTTATTAAGCTAGATTTAAGGAAGCATCTTGGCTGAATCTGCTGCAGGAGTTGACTCACACGCCATATGAGGGTGTTTGTCTTAACATATGCCTCTTCACTTATCTACTGTTGATGTCAACGATTTGTTGGGTTCCATGCTGTGTTTCCCAGTTTTATGTTTGTTTCCTTCTCATTCTAGCTGTATACCCAAAACATTTTGACACTTTCTTATACAGATTATCTCTGGTCCTGCCAGAAACTTAGTCAAGTCTCATGGTACAATAAGCCATTTTGCTGGGTTTCTCCAATTAGATTTTGACTTTTAGGTAATGCGTTACTTCATTTCATTTTACTTTATATTTTTATTGCCTGAGGATCTGAGAACAGAACAATTTCACTTCCTTTTGAGAGAAGCGGTATCTGAGTCAAAACTACATTGCTAAGTGGTACTTGTGACAGATTTCTGTCTTTCTGAGGGTGCTGTTAATAAACTTCAGAGTTTTGCACTTAGCCTTCTTTTTTTTGCCACCTTGATTTTTATGTTTGACTAAAGATATGCTTCCTCCAAGGTTCATACATTGACTTAAGTTTTTTCTCTTGGCAGTATGAGGATGAAAGTGTAAAATTTTAAGCACTTGAAATGTAACCAATCTATCAACTCCTAGCAGACTTCACCTGACTACTGTTGGGGGTCTCTCTTGGCAGAGAGAAAAACACTTCCTAAAGCATCCTTTTGATTTTATAATTAAATGGGAGTGATGCAAACGAGATAGAAAACTAGAGGGTGATTGGGGGGGGGGGGAGGAGGAGGTAGGTTTAGTGAGCTGGTCTGTGTGGGGGCTGCTCCATCAGTGTTGCATGGGAGGATGTTGGGAGCAGCTCACTGAGGACCACCTCTTGTCATGCCTTCCCACAGTGGGCTGAAGTGCACTGCCCCCTCTTGAGGAAACGTAATGGCCTGAGTGCTGCTGCTGTGAGCTTCTGTTTGCATGGTATGCAAAGGGTGCTGGAGCCTGTCAGAAGTTGGGGTGTCTAGGAGGAATGTAGGGCAGAAAGGACATGGAATTAGCCAGCGTGGGAAGGTTTGCCTTTAGGGAGTGGGCTGGGGAGGCAGGGCTCTGAGCAGGTAGATGTTATATGCCAGGTTCCCTTCTGCATTGTTGGATGTTGCAAGACCTATTTATGGTGAATATAATAAAGCAGAAGAGGCTTTGAGTTGCTAATCTCGTTCTTTCTTTCCTTAGTGCATGTTTTTCCTGTGGTTTTTTTTCTGTGATCTTCACTTAGTTTTTCATTGTTTATTTACACTGCCACTGTTACTTCATGAATTCTTTAAATCATCGCCTATCTAGAGGGGAATCTGGACAGAATTATTCTTGCAGCTTTAAGTCTTGCTGACAGGAGGAGAGAAGAGCAGAGCTGTTGTCCCCCAGAGAAATGCAGGAACTGTGGCCACTTGAAATTGGACAGACGTAGTCGGCTCGGAGGGAGATGTTTCTTCTGGAAGTGCCGCGTTTTCTGTTGTTCTGCATCTGTTGGGCCCCTTGTGCAAAATTGCTCTGGGGAGAACAAGATTTGGGCTGAAGCAAGTGGGAGAATTGTCTTTTGGGGGTTGGAGAAGAGACGTGTGGGAACTCTTTTCAGGACTTGCATTTGGATTTTCTATGGGACAGAAAGGGGTAGTTTCTATGTGAGCACAAGCTAGCAAAATGTCATGGAGAACAGACTGGATGTGTTTCTTTTTGTTCATCTGCTGTGGAAAACTGTGAGTGGATTGCCATTTCCTCAAATACATTAATGGCTTGCATGCATCCTTCCACTTGATTTGCCTGCCTTTCATCAGAGGCAGGTACTGAAGGTAGGGAGGGGCCCATTAATTCTGTGCATCTGTAAATTTCCTTAAATTCGTGGTCAGAATGGGGTAAAGAGTGTCTGAGATATGGTCTGAGGTAAGCGTTCGCGGTTTATGGCAGTGAAGCAGGAGAAAACTAGATTTCTAGATGTTATCTTCCTTCACAAGAAGGCTCTTTAGTTTCTGTTCCCATCATTTTGGCATTGCTTTTAATTGTAAGATTCAATATAACTGGACTCAATGTTGTTTTAGGACAATGGTTGTTTTAGGTAGAATAGTTACTTAAGAAATAGAAGTTACGAGTGGTTTTACGTCTCTTGTGATTCTGTGATTCTTATCCCATTCTGGTGTAGGTGAATCCACTTCCATTTTTCTTAGAAGTAGCTGACTTCATATCCATGCCTTCATGTGGTGATGATAGGGGCAGACAGGACAGCTCAAGCTGATGCTTTGGGACAGGAGAAGGAGAGGCCACAGTAGTTTGTCCAAGAAGTTGTAATTTGTAGCCTCTTAAAAACAAACAAACAAAAAAACCCTAATATTTCTTTCTTTTTTTTTTTTTTTTTCCACTTAGGAAATACCATTGTGCTGAGGAGGAAAACAACACCCTGCTCCTTCCCCTTGGCTCCTCCTCCCCTTCTCGTTGCTGAATTAGAAGCTCCGGGAATGTTCTAATTGGCGGCGGCCTCTTCAAAAGGTAAGAGGTAATGATGTGTTCTCTGAGGTGCTTTACTTGCTGTCTCTTCTTGGAAGCAAGGGTGATGTTAGAAGCTCGTCTGTGTAGAGCTGAGACAAGTTTCTCGTTTAACACAGGTTGCCCTTCTGCTGTCTTTAACAGTCTGATGCAAACAGAAGCTTTGTGTGCTTATTGCTCCATTTCTGGGTGCGGGATACAGTCCCTCTGCAAAAACTGAAAGAGGAGATGCATTTTAAATGCTTGCAGGGAAATAATAAATAATGTAACTGTTGTATTGCTGACTAGTTGAATCTTTTTCTCACTGATAGCTTAGATGAGAAGGCAGTGAGATAGGTCGAGATAAGCCAACTTGAAGAACAATGTCTCATAAGGTTTTCCTTCTACTATTACATTTTTAACCCATCTTGTTTGAGGTTTTCAGTGGTTTCATGGCTGTTTGCACCACTGGTGGATAAGATATGAACCAGCTGGAACACCAGCTCCATATCAGAATGGTGTGTTTTGTGAAGAGTCAAAGGCAGTCTGCAGTTCCTCACCTGTCCAGGCTTTAAGATTTGGGCAGAAGTGTAAAATGTGGTAGGTGAGAGTTCAAATGCAGCATCTTCTTTGTAGTACTTCCTAAGCAATTAAATGTTGTAGTTACATCTGATGGTGCGATCCACGTGTGATCCTTATTGTTCCTTCCACAGAATTTGTCAGGATATACAGAAGAGAAAAGTTGCGTGATTCGTAGGACAGAATGAGGTGCTTGAGCAGACTGAAGTATGCTGCTGGACATGCGTATGTGCTTTGATAGCAGACCTTGGTGTTTAGGTTGTTAGTTGCTCGGGAACTGAAAGTAGTGCTTCAGGAGGTTGCTTTCTGTTGTAACTTCGTGTTAGAGGCAAATTTTTCTTGTAGTGGAGGCAGTGTCTCCTGTCTCCTCTGGTGCAGTTCAGCTTAGCATAGCACTGAGAGGGGGCTTCTGCTAACTTGTCTAGTTTGGAGGTATGGGAGGCCAATGCATGATGTATGTTTTTCTTGCAGATTTGCTCTGTGGTACTAACCTTTGTGAGGGGCTTGGGGAGACATTGCAATGCAATAATGTCTTAAATTGCACCAGTGAGATTTGTCAGAGTTCATTTGTCAGATGCCTCAGACTGACTAAGTGCACTAACTTATAAAGGATAAGCTGCAGACAGGTAATGTGCCTCGGGATGCTCTTTCTCATTCTCCATCTCATTCTTGATGGTGCTAAGCCAAACTAAGTCTTTATTGAATGGCTGCCACCAGCTGCCTGACTACCTTCTGCAATAAAGCTAATGACCTAATGGGCAAATGTTTCTTGGAGACCTTCAGCTGAAATGGAGACAAGGAGAAACGTACAGACCAGCTAAAGGGTTCTCAAGGAGCTTGCAATTTCCCCAGGGCCCCGTCTATGTAATTACCTGTCTATCGCTTTGTCTCCTATCTTTTAATGCAGGAGGAGTGTCAGACTCTGGGCTGCTAATCTTTGTTACTATGGAAAGGCTGTTTACACTCCTCTTCTTTCACTTTAGAAATGGCAATTCCTGGTCCTCAGCTGGTTCCCTGAATTTAACTTAAAAACGGCTGATAGCTTTTCTCCTTGGTGCCAGACTAAATAATGCAGCCAACTGTGCTGTCACAGGCAGTCATTGCCTCTGCTGCTGTGGTGTGATGTGAGGAGGAGCCCACAGAAGCTGCCTGGTGGCTTTTGAACCCATTTTCTCTCAGACAAGTGAAGGCTTCTGTAAAACTCTTTTGAAATGCACAATCTTGGGGCACAATGAGATGTGGGAGCCTTGGTTGAGCTGCAGGTGTGAAGGAGAGCTGTTGTTAAGATTCATAGCTCCAGCTGAGTTTTTGTACAGTTACTGAATGCCTTCAAAATCCCTGGGCTTGGGGCTGTGGGAAGCAAAGACTCTGCAAGCTGCTTTGTGGGACCACGGGACAGCTGCTGCTGCTACTGCCTTCCACCCATCACACATCTCACATAGTGCTTTGCAGCAGAGGCGTTCTGTTCCATTTCTGGGCTTCTCTGCTGCCATTTCTCTTTGGCTGGAGATAGCTGCTTTTCCATCTCACACTGCACTGGAAATTTAGAGGGGAGTCCTCACTTGCTGCTCTCAGCACGCAGTTCCTGAGTCGCGCTGTCAGACTGCCCCTGCTCTACTTTCTATGACAGCAAGGTGATGGAGGCCACCCCTGTGTAGCACAGTGTCTGTCCCCTGTGGGGCTGCTGCAGGAGCTTGCGCCCAGGAAATGCACGCTGTTTAGCCCCTTTGCAGTACCTTTGTCAAATGTGCTTTAAATGTCTGCAAATGTGTGGTGTTTTAAGTCTGTATTATCAAATACCACACGCTGTCTGCATTCCTTGGGGTGAAAGGCTTGGGGAGGAAAGGCTGCTGTGACAGCAACACTGGAGAACCCAAGCAAAAGGAAACTGTTGCCTGTGTGTCACACCAGAGCAGAGGCAGGAAAGGTGGGGACAGGGAGGCTCCTGCCCTGATCCAAGTGTGGAACGGGAACAGAAGAGAGGGCAGGGACAGGGCAGCAATGGGTCAAGTTGGCTGGTGGCCCACAGATTGCTGTGTCATTTGCTGCACTTAATGCTGGGCTTCCCTCCCTGTCTTTAACTAAATGTGTACAGAGATTGTTTTCGGGTTTTTGTTCCTTGAAAGAGCAACCATATCACGCTTCAGATGGTTTCAGAAATTGTGCGCTGATTTTGAAAGAACTTTTGTCCTCATTATTCCTCCCCTTCCCTGTCTTTTTTTGCCCTCTCATTTGTATCAACCTGAGCCATCTCCAAGGGAAAGATGACACTGCTGCCAGCTAGCATTTCAGGTGGCCAGGCTGGCTGTTAGCAAAGTGCCTCTAACAACTCACCTGCCTGTGGGAAACTTACCCTCTTTGTTTGTATTTCTCTTTTCATATATAAATCAAGGTCATAACTCCTTAGCCTTCATCAAGCGTTTCAACAAGGTATTTGTTTCAGATCTTCCCCCCCTCTTTTTTTTTTTTTCCCCCAAGTCCTTTGAGAAGTTTTGAGTTAGGATCTCTCAGTCAAATGCAAGGCAGGTCAGTGGGAAGCTGCATGTTGTAGAGAAATTCTGTTTAGGAAAGCCTATGCTGATTTGAACAGAGTAAACTTCTACTGGGAAGTGCTTTGTAACATGTGGTCTGAAATGTCTGGGTCTAGTGCTGATGGCTTTGAAAGCCAGATGAACCACATCAGTGACTCCTAGTCAGTTGGTAACTGTGTGTGATGCAAACCAGACTTCCCCTTGGTGCCTTCTCACGTGCAGGGCTGTCTGGTTGGACCAGGTTTGTGTTGAGGTTATCAGCTGTAGAATATAAGCATGCTTGTTTCTTGAAAGAGCCATAGTTTTCAGTACTTTCAGTAGCGTTTTAGGTATAGTTTCCCTTGATGGAGAAGGAAGTGAGACCTGTGTCTTAAGATGACTCAGGCACTTTGATTTTCCCCTACCCCTCCCTCAAGCCAGGAACCTCCTATGATTTTAGACCTAATGATCTTTCCATCCTCTCCACGAGTACTTTTGCAGAAGAAAGGATGCTCTCTTTTATGGAACAGAAAGGGGGGAAAAGGGAAGATTTTCTTCAGCTTCTCAGGAACTTTTGGATATCCACAAAATAAATTGAATAGAGACAAAAATGAGGCATATGAAGAAAAACACTTTTGCCAGCAAAATGAGCAGCTCTCTAATTTCAATCTTCAGGCTTTTGGCTAAAGAAGGGTAACATAAGCTTTTTTGCTGCTAGAAATTGAGAATTTGGCGGTAGCATGCAACTGTAAAATCTGTAGGCGTACAGTGTAGCAGAAGCTGTCTTTATTCCTATACTGCACATGTTATTTGGCTTGGGAGAAAGTGCTTTGCTCTCTAAGAAAGTTGAGGATCTGGATGGGACTGACTGCCATTTGTGCATCATGTTTAAAGTTGTGTTTTATTCAGGAAAGATGAATTAATGTATGGACTGATGGTGCTGTTTCTCCCCCTCAACTTTTACCTGGTTCTTTTTTCCAAAGCCCGTGGTCAGAACAGTGAGAAGGAGAAGTTATTAATCGACACACTTCAGCGGGGAAATTGAGCGTTGGATGAGTTTTGGGCTGTGGTACCTATCTTCTCTTAATTCTTCTTAAGAGCATTTGTGGTATGCTTGAAGTGTATTGGGGAGTGACAATTCAAACGACCCAATAAGATATTGTTGGTAGAGGGAGAATGAAGAATCACAGGAAAAGGATAGAAGTATGCAAGTGGTTCACCAATGTCACATTAATAGAATCCTCAAATCAAGTGCTCATTCACTTTAACCAGAGGTTAATTAATCAGAGTGAGTAGATAAAATGGTAAGCTGCTTTTAATGAAGTGAAGCAGCTTTATTAGCAGTAAGCAAAAAGCAGAATATTTGGTCTTTGGCACTTGTGGTTTGGATGGGGACAGCGGCTTGCCACCAGCTGTTGGAGTGCAGTAGACTTTTCTTGCTGCACTCTGTAGGCTGTGCTGTGTGTCTGTAATTCTGTGGCCAATTCAGAATGCAGGAGATGAAATCAGATTAGAAGCAGGTATAAAATCAGGAATGTTTCTTATGGATCTTATTGTGTGCTAGTTCAGTATTTACCTACTGTCATACTTTCCTGTCGTACAGCAGACTTTACACAAGCACAACAAGGAAGTAAAGCCTGTGTGTGGCTTTAGGAGAGTGGCCCTTCTAGAATGGAAGCAAGATGATCCTGCCTGGGAACTGCTAGCTTAGCCCCATAGCTGTCAGCAGCTGTCTGCCAACTTGCAGCTTACAGACAGAAATGCTCCAGGGAGGTGCTACCTGTGTCTTTCATTCAGGTGGAGGGCTGAGGCCTACCTGTCACTGGCTGTTAACCTGAAGCAAACTTGCTTATGCTTGCTCAAACGATCTTCTGTCCTCAGTGGTGCCTCTGTGCCGCTGCTGTGTTCCACAGCATCTCTCTTGGAAAGCTGTAG